CTCTCCCTTTGAGTTCACATTGCTGAAACTTTGGGCCCATGCCCTTCCGTCCCGGGAATAGCTGTCTTTTTGCCATTCAAACGCACATTCCTGGTGCTCACAAGCTGCTTCTGAGGCCTGTGCCCCAGAAGAACGCCTTGGGCAAAGTCATGGAGAAGCTTCTCCAAGTACTTACGGATCAGCTATACCATGTATCCTAAAACCTTATTGCTGCACAGCTGATACACCATGTCAGTATGGGAATAACAGCTGTCTTACTGCACTTCTCTATATTCTTTCTGTTTAACTTATCCATCTGCTGACTCATATTGCACATATACGATATCCACAGGAGAGAATGTTTTGTGGTTTTGTGCACACAGGCTACAGCAGTGGGACCCACGACGCCAGGAACATCACAGGAGCGTCAAAATCCCACTGGCCCAGCTTGTAACACAACTACGTGGTGACGACAGGGTGTTTGAGAGAGCTGCTGGCAGCAACGAGCGCGGAACAAGGACCTTCCAGCATAATTCATCCAACTGAAGCTCCACGATGCCTGTACAAAGCTTAGTGGCTACAACCAGACTGTTACGTAGGTGCAGGTCCTATTAGAGGAAGTGTGTGTTGCAATTTGTCATGGAAGCTTTAGTCAAAGCACGGCGTTGCCCGCACATCGTCACAAACAGCACTGTCACACAAGAAAGAAAGCATTTCTGCAGGTAATTCCTGCTAAATCCCACTGCAGGCATTTCTTCTGACATATAAATTGTGTGCTCTTAAATAGTGAGTCTCAATAAAATACCTGAATGATGGGACATACGAACGCACATGGGTAGCCTTACATATTCCTAACTGCACTGATCAGCAGGGGACACCCAGTGCTGTTCAGCTGATGGATTCATGTAAAATTTGTGACCTGAAGAACTTTAAATAAACAGAATCAGCAATGAGTATATTTGTTCTGGACTCAGAAATACCAACTTTATTTATAATATTTGTAATTAAAATTAATATTATCCAGGTGTTAAGCTCTTTAATATCACTTGCCCCTAGCACAGACCTCAAAACTGCCTCTTTTTTAAAGTCTGTGAACTGTATCGGGTAGCGCAAAGATGGGAATTTTGTGATCCCACTTGCTTAAACTATTTAATAACCTGCCTACATTTTCCGCATATCAATAAATGAAGTGGAATACAAAATGTAACATCTGTTTCCTCCTCTGTTTAACATAAGGAGGTCAGATTCTAAACAAATACATTGAGGAAGTCTTTTTAGGAATTTGTTAAGCTGAATTCAGCTAATCAAGACAGCAGAAATATTGTATATTTCCAGAATGACCTCTTTGTTTGACCTGAAAATTCTGTATATTGTTCTAAGCCCTGCACATGCAAAATCTACATGATGAAGCCCCAATCTTCTTGTCTTTCCTTTTATCTTTTTCTTCATAAAACTTTTTAAAAAGCAGGAGTGTGTTTGTGAAACTCAGCACAAAAAGGGCTTCAGATGTATATTTGTAATGCGAACAAATGCTTCTTGGCAATCAAAAGTTAGAAGGTGTGAAACATCCTCAAGATTTCAGCAATGTTATGTTTTGAATAAATACTAATTTATCAGCTTAGCTGATTTCTAGTTTACTCATTCACAGTAATTCAAGTAAATACATTCAATCAGTTTATTACTGAACATTCAACTTGATAAAGACAGAAGATCCAGCGCTCAGACTACAAAGATATCTTTTCCTCTCTTCATTTTCCCAAGTCACATCTTAACTGGCAGCAGAATTAGGCTTCGATGACCAATAAATAGGTTTCCTATTTCATTTTTTAGAACCATGGAACAATTTAACAAAAACAAGGAAAATATGTATTCGTATCAATAGGCACCAGGATAACCTGTATATCATCAGATATAATTCCTCAAATTATCTTATTCCAAAATACAGAAATATAATTTCAGTTTATTCCGCAAAAATTTTGGAATGCTGTTGCATATCGAGGTAGAAGATACTTCTTCTCGGGAGTTTGATGGAAAACAAATTAAATAAATAAATAAAAATTGTTGGAGAAATAGTCAATACTCAATCTGATATCCTTTCCAACAGACTGTAGAACTAGACCTGGCCCAAAACCCACGCCTGTTTGAACGTAACACACTGTCCAGAGTTCACCATCCTCTCAGACCCACCAACACAACAGGACATGGTGCCATCTGCCTGCTCAGAGCAGGAATAAGCCACTTTAAATTTATCTTTTTTATTACTTTTGCTGCCTTTCTACAAAGAGCTTCCATAGAGCAGTAACACAAATATTCTTCCCTGATCTGGTCTGCAAACTCCCAAGAACGAATCTGGCTCTTCCCTTACTCACCATCTCTGTAATATCCCTCAGAGAGGAGACACGCTCATGACCCTAGGGCCGCATGAGTGTGCCAGACACCCACCTGCTACCCTCAGCATCTCTCGGTTCCCTGAAATATTCCCAGAAACAGCACCACACTGGAAACGTATTTTCTGTTTTTACCACCTCCTGCACCACAGTGTCTTTATCCTTCAAAATAAATTCCCAGAATTCAATAACCTTTCCAGCTTGTATTTTCTGACCTACATCTGTCAAGCTTCTGTCACCAACTCCAAAGCTTTTCAAATCATCTTTCCCAATGTTTTATCCTCTGCTCTCAAGAAAATTAGGATTCTCGTCTTTGTATCACAATTATTTCTTCAACTTAATTTGAAACGCAGTTGCAGAACAGAGAACTAGCATGGAGGCAGCCAGCTGCTCGGATTTGAGGTCAGATGATATTCCAGCAGCTTAGAGTTACATGAACGTTCTCATGTGATGGACTAGGAAGTCAGCATGTTCTGTTTTTTTTCCAGAATTAGTTGTCTATTATCAGTGCTGCTAAAAGAGATCAGTGCTTCAAAAGATGCAACAAAAGCGAGAACTGAATGGATGTTTCAGAGACTGAAAATGTGCAGTGGCACTAAAGGGTGATTGTAAAGGGACACAATTGTCCATGGGCATTTGAATTATCCAAGAGATTAAAAGGGAAGAATTTTAATTAGTTTACATTTACTCAGAAAAATAAATAAATAAAGTTTAGAACAAGCACCACACAAAGTTTCCCGAGTTTTGTAAAACTTGGCCATTGCCCCTTTCTATGTCCAATGCTTAAGTTGACAGTGACAATATGGAAGTGTAGCCTAAAGCACAACTAAGTACTAGGAGAAGAAATTATTAAATGAACAATCATGTCTCAAAAATCTAGCCTGAGGATTGATGATTAAACAGCACCACCTAGTTATAAAAACAAGAACAGCTCTTGCTCGTGCCAGCTCAACACACACCCAATTAATGGGCCCTAGAACTACTGCAGAGGCAGAGCAGTATCACCTTCTAGCCCTTCCTTTCTCCAAATGGTTATATAAAGACAACACTTACTAAAGCAGGCAAATTTACACATCAGACTTACTCATTAGAGAGAGCCAATAACAACAGAAACAGCTAATTCAAGCTGCACATTAGCAACGAACAGTGTGCAGTTTAGTGCTCTGGATGAAGCCGTGTCTATTCATAACCAGCTATCTGCAGGAAAACGAGGAGCATTTCCCAGTTTTAAGAGGCGCTTGTTTTGTTCAGGATCAGCTCTTGCCATATGCGAAAGGAATTCTTTGAGTCGAGCGGGCCTGATCTCAGACAGTTCCAACTCCAGATAGGAAGATACTCCCTCAAGGGCCTGCTCTGCCTTCCTGACTTTCTCAACTCGTCAGGGAAGGAATGAAAAGGCTGGTCTCCGTGACACCATAACCCTTTACCACTAGACAGGAAAGCATTTGGGAGTGTCTCCGTTTGAGGCAAGAGTCTGTTGATTTTACCCTCCCAAAATTCCAATCCTAGAAGTTAACAGCGTGTCACTTTTGCCACAGATTGTTACAGGCCATTATAAAATCATGCAAGCTTCAGATAAAATCTTTTTTTTTTTTTTAGACTGTCTACCATGATATTTTAGTCCCTCTGGGACATTTTTCCCCCCTTTCTCTGATCTTTCCTCCTAACCTTGTAATGTCATTATTCATTGCCAAATAACAGCACTGGGTAATGCAAAAAGAGTCAATTGAGTGGTCAAGGTTTCAAAATCAACTACTGATCTCAGACAACTATAAGAAAAAGCTTCATTCTCAGCACTTTGGAAGAAGCTCAACTCTTCAGATGAGCGTTTCAGTGGCTAAAAAAAAAATGTTATACGCAAACCCATAGATCGCTACTGAAAAAAGTGTAGCTAAATGAAAAAGAGATGAGATGGAGTATGAAGATTTAAGAGTTTGGGAAAGCATCTATTTTTCCAAAATTTTCTGAATTTCTCTATATTGCTCTGTACTACTATGTACTTCTTGCCATTCACAGGCTCTGTAGAAACTGTCTGAAAACCTCTCCAAGATCAAGAAATTCATAGTAAATTCAGGTAAAAGGTAACATAGAATCATAGTATCATAGAATTATTATGGTTGGAAAAGACCTGCAAGATCATCAAGTCCATGTGGTGATATGAAGATATCCACTGTACTTTATACCTGGACCCAAGTTCCCACACAGTGACAACAACAACATCAATAGCATTTGCTGGGCAGTTAAGATATCACCTTTCAAGTGCCTGGGACAGACTGCAACAATACTGTACAAATGTACTGCTTGTCCATCAGGATAAAAATCACACTTTGTTCCAGGAAACAAAAGAGTAGCCTAAAGGAAACTTACTGGAAAAGTGCTCTGAAATATTAAAATGAAGCAAAAGAGAGACATCAAAATCAAACCCTGCCAACACGAAAAACAAAATAAAACAAAAAGCAGAGAAAAAAAAAAGCACAGAAAACACCGTCCAAGAGACGAACAACAAAAAAAAAACAGCGCAGCACATCAAGGAGTTTATTCAAAAATGGGAAAAAAAACATTAAGATGGAGAGAAAAGGTCACTATTAAAATATTTTAATATTCACAATTCTTGGAAGGTCATTAACGTCTTACCTTCTCTGCAGACTTCAGTGATTTTTGAGATGCCTCATAATCTTTCTTGGTTTCTAGAATTCTTTTTACAAGTCCACCTGATTAAAAAAAAAAAAACACACTTTTTCAGCATTGGCTGGCACTAAAATACTGTTCTAAACATTCAGACAATAAAACCAAAACCCAACCACTTAATTTTCTTTCAGTTTTTAGAGCAACATTTATTGCATTCTATTATGTATCTATACTATTGAGATACAAGGTGCTTGCTATATGGTCTATTTTCTCCAATCTCCTATAAATCAAATTGTTCCAAGCAATACAGTTTACTGAATGGTTTTTAGTATAGAGATAGACTTGGGAGCTATTGTAACACAATGCTTTTTCTTTTGTACTCCTCTTTTGGAAGAATTCCTTTGCTTCAAATTTTTGGCTGCAGGGATTTCTGAGAAATATTTCTGTCTAAATCACATCCAGTGTGACCATAACAGATTGAAGCCTTTGAATCCGAGATTGGAGGTCACAAGCGAGAATAAACATTGTTAAGGAGAGGTCCATTAGTTTTTCTGGAAGCTCTTCTGGAAGCTCTCAACTTGCCTTGACCGGCCAATTCCATCTCATATCTCAGAACTGACAAGCTGTACCTCACACAATAAGAAAAAATAATTTTGTGGTTTTATGCAGCATTTTAAATCCTGCTGACATTAGAAAATGTGCGCTCCACATCAGTTGTTAATCCTGCTGTCCTGACATGTAGACTACTCTGCTGAATAATTTCTAATTTGTTGTAAAAGTCCAGCATTAAGGTTGTATTTTGCCACTTCATTCAACATTTTTTCAATGTTCAACACTTGGTTGGGGATGTTTTTATATTAACAAACAAAACAAAACCAACAAACAACAACAAAAAAGCAAACATACCATGTTTTTCATCCTCAACCAGCTGCACTTCTGGCTCCTACACACATGAAGAGAGCTTTAGTTGCAAAAGGTTGGCATTGGTTTAACATACAAGTTCTCAAAAATTTTCAACTATAAACTAGCTAATTGAACAAGTAATTGACAACAAACTGTAGAAAAAAAGGTGCTACAACTTGCAAAATTAACAGACCGTTTCCATCTCTGGCATTTCTGGCAGCGGCAGTGCCGCCTCCACCACAAACTGGTCATCATCGTCATCAGAATTTTGATGGTCTGTGATCAAATTTGAGACTGTTTTACCACTACTATTCCTGAAAGATAAACAGTGAACATGAAATTCCATTTAGGATCTGTCCATATCTCCAAAACAGAAGAGACAGCAGTTCCCTCTCCCCTTTCCCAAAAATGTATCACCCAAGAGCAGACCAAACAGCCATTTCCAGTCACAGTTCAGCTCTGAAAAGAGTGATCCTTCTCCCACCACTGGAACTTATCAGAGATCACCATTAAACCGTTTTGGCAGGATTTTTAAATGGCCATTTGAGCCTTTTTTGAAGCACATAACGTGTCTTGCATGTTTTATATGTTTTAAAAAATCTCTTTAACTTTTGTTGTTCAGGGTTCACAAGGCAGGAAAGTTGAACCTTATTTCTGAATTTCCAGAGGTGATGACCAACTGTAAGTTCTAGATAACATACTTGCAGAAACAATAAAACCAGTAAAGCAGTACTGAATTTTCCAGTCTGAATCAATAAGCAGTTCTATGATCTAGCCTAGCACTGTTCAGCAGCAGGTACCACAGAGAACACTGGAAAATGCCATGGCATAAGAGCTAGAATTATCTGCTCTATACCTCTCACACTTGCCCTTACCTTTCTGGAAATAAGGCCTCTGTGCTTTCTTGGCGTTTTATTCGCGGTGGTGCTGGTCTTGCACTGCCAGGCCGTGAAATTCGCCTGCAAAAAAATGAAAAGACTTTCTCACAGATACTGTCAAATGAAGCCACACACGTTCCTCAGTGGAACAGATACACACCTATGAACTGAGCAACTGGGCCAGTGAATAAAAATAATACCACAAACTTCGCTGTGTATAATCTAACAGCAATAGTTGCTTTCATAGTAGAAGTATAAAAAAATCTAGAAAATGTCTCACTAAAAAACGTAACCTAGATACAGTACAATTATTTAGCACTAACAACAAGTTTAGCATTAACCGTACAGACTGCAACATGGAAAAAAAAAATTTTGATGTTCATGATTCAATTACACAGCCCTTTGCTGGGCAAAGAAAAAGCAAATCTGAATTTGAAAGGCAAATTCCTTTTAACCATAACAGCATACTTCAGAAATGCATGGCAAGAACGAAGAACATTGGTTCATATATGTGAACTAAAATAATTTTTCATATCCTATGTGTCCTAATTATTTTAATAACATTGCATAATGCACTTTGTGGATTGCAAAAATAAGTCGGAAACATTTAGCAATTTTAAAGTTTTCTTTAAAAAAGGAAATGAAAGCAAATAAAATGAACCCTACAAGGGGTAATATTTACTTTTCGGTATCATGAGCAGAAACATTCTACTCCAGCTTTGTCATTTGCGAATGAGCTGTTTTCTTCCTCAAGATTTGTCATTAATTTGATTCAGATGGAACAAAGAGCAGGAACAAACCTTTGGATAACCTGAGGTGGAAGATCATTAGGCGCTTTGTCATTTTCAGGTGCTGCAGGCTTTTCAGGAGCAGTGTTCTCTGCTTCTCCTTCTGTTGAAGGAAAGAAACATGCAATTTGGCTACAAAACCTGCACACAGCCTACCACGGAATAATAGAAAAATACCCAGATGTATTTCAAGAATAGTTGGCACTAGAAGGGATCATCTAGTCCAACTCCTCTGCTTAAGCAGGGTCACCAAAAGCAGCAGCTGTTTGAACAGGGTCCGGGGCAACCTGAATACATCCAAGGATGGACACCCCATAATCTCCATAGGCAGCCTGTTTCAGTGCAGACTTTTGTTCCCTAATAAAACATTTGGTTTTGTATAAAGACCCTGCTTGGTATCTACACAGGCAATCATAAAAGCCAAGACTGGTGACCCTGAAGATTGAGATTAAACAAAACTGAACAAAGAACTCTTCCCAGGAAAATATACCTGCAAGAATCACTATTTTTTACTTTCGAAAAAACTGCTACCACTAAGTAAGAAGAACAGACTGCTAAAAGAATTTGGCTTTTGAAGTTGAAAGAGCCATATTCAAGGTCTCAGCTGACTTCTTGCTCTCACAATGTCTCAGTGTGCATCACATTTTCACATAACAACAGCTCACAGGAGGGAAAGTCAGCAATTGCAAAGAGTCCTTCAAGCATTAAATCACTTTGCATTAAAAAATACTCTAAAATTTAACTTCCTTGGCTTACCTTAGCTCAGACAACCAACAGAGACAGCAGTGAATACCACAGCACAACGCTGTGACAACTTGCACAGAGCAAAGTGAGGGCATCATCACGGACCTAAGACACCTCAGAGTTCCAGATTCACTGTCTGTAACTGGTCTAATGACCCAGCTCATGCTATTTGGGGAAAGGTTTTGTGGATCAGTTTTAATATGAACAGAAGCGACTAATGCAACAAGTAATAGAAGGAAAGAAATAATATCTTGTACTGACATTAAGAAAATGGAAAAAGGAAGTTTTATTATACCAGCTATTGCAATAACTACCTGTAACATTTTGCAGGAAGCTCCCCAAGGGACCTGCTCATTTTCAAGTTAAAATCCATAAAACGCTCGTAAACTATTTTTCTTTTTTCTTTTTTTTTTTTTTGGAAAAGCACTTAGCCCAAAGTACAAAGTATTTTCATAGATGGCTTTTTGGTATTCATTTAACCAAAAACTGCTTGTATAAAGTCCAACCAACAAATTACATTTTGCTACAGTTTATAAGTTCTTTTTAAGCTTAAATTAAAAAAGCGCTAAACTACAAAAGTAGTTTGTTTACTAAAAAGCACTATCTTTTCTTCAAGAAGTTTTCAGCTATCATTGATATGTGCTGAGCAGGTCTTTGTCACTATAAACTTCACCCGAATCACTTGTAGAGACACTTGGAAATAATAAATACATCGAATTTTCAGAGAAGTAGTTATATAAATTCTTATTAAAATAAAAGACTAAATTAGACATGAAGCCCAAGAAGAATTATAGCTAACTTGTTACTTGGGAACTACTACTGGGAGTGGGAAAACAGGGACAAAGACATTAGGGAACCTTGCCAACAAACTTACAATTCAGTACTCAAGCCACTAAAATTCTAGCAATTAAGCAGAACACACGAATCACAAGTAAAGCATTTTAAAAAGGTGAAAAGACAGATGATCCATCAAGACGATTCTATCTTGATGATAGAATATCTGAGTAGAAAGAGACTTAATGAGATGTGTAAAAAACGTAAAGCAGATATTTTGAGAGAGGCAAAGCCATGATGTTCTACTTAGAACTACTAAAGCACAGGGATTGCTCTCCCCTCAAAGAGAAGTTACACAGCCCACTTAATAAATGAGAACTCCACCAAATAAATGAGAACTCCAGAGGAAATCCAGAAGTTAAACCGAGAATGGAATTTTCTTTTTTATCACCTCTTTTTTTCTGAGTAGTCACAAGTACCCCATAATCCCTTGATAGCACTGTAAAAGAACTCAATTCAGTTCTTCTCTTACTAGCTTACTCCAAAAGCACAAGTTCTGTTGCAAGACACTACCTGCGATTTGCAAGAGGGTCCCAGGGCAACTTCAACATCCAGTTTTAATTCCCCTCTAGTTAGTTTGAATACAAACCTAATGCCAGACAAGACTTTATGTACGAGTCCAATTGCTAACGCCTACCATCCACATAAGGCAAAAACCACAGTACCTAAGTACCTGCAGTGACTGCCATTCTGGGATATTTCAAAGGAAATGGGCAAACTAAACAGAACCTCAGTAGTTTATTAAACAGTTCAGCTAGCGTGAATGGCGCTGCCACCAAAAACGCAGTGTTGCCTTCTTGCTTGCCCTTCCCTCGTGCTAGAACCTGACCGAGAAGACTTGGTTTCAGGCACTCTTCTCCAAGTCTCTGTGCCAAATTGATAAAAAGAAAAAAAAAATACCCTTGCTTCATAGATCTGCTGACTGGTGCAGATGGGTGGTAAGTGGCTGTAAGAGCTTAACTGAATGCCTCCTTGGCACAGTGCAGCCATATAGAGAAAGGGAAACCTAAGGAACTCCGGGAGGATTTCAGCTAAGTCTTACAAGCAAAGACCTCAGGCTAAAATAGCCCCTCACTGGAAAGCTTTAAGCATACACTCATTCATAAATCTTTACAAGACACAAGAAGAAAGCTGCAGGAAGAGACAACAGCTCACTGAGTTATGCCGATTATTCCTAAATATGCATTTGACTCAGCTATCTGCAATGACTGCTACCAACTTTCTAGATTGATTTAACTGTTTTCACTGTGGGAATTTAAAAGCTATGAATGACAACTGCATCTGTGCCAGGGCTTACAGAAAATTAAGGATTACTTAATGCATTGGGTTGTTACATCACCTGAAAATCCAGTCCCAAATCAACGGCGAACTTCTGGATATTCTTTTTATGGGCACTCAGATTAGAAATAAAGGAATATAACATTGTATTCCATTACAAGATACATTCCAGTAGGTAAAACAGCTCCAAAAGATTAAAATGAATTGGCCTGGAAGCCCTCCCAGCTATACGGAGTCACGCCTTGGCCAAGCAGCTATGTATCACTAGCCTGATACAGCTCTGGGGCTCTAAATACCACAGGTGGACTGGGAAGCCTTTAAGCTCCCAAACACCTGGTATCTACAGCAAATATCTGGATTTAGAGATTTTTTTTTTAAAAAAAAAAAGCTGCTTTTTGCATAAACATGAGTTGCTCTTTATTTTGGTTCTACTGCTCCATATATAATGTAGCTAGGTACAACTACTTCAATAACAATATATATCTCGGGAACCACAGTCAACTTCAAAAAAACTGAGAACCTCCATATTCTTATAAAATGAAATCACCAAGTGGGACTCACAAATATTTGCACAAAAAGGCAGCCTGCAACAATGCAGTTCATACACAGAACAAGCCATCATGAGATTCAGTTGCACCAGGCTTGCAATTTCCCTGGTACAGTGTAACCACTGGCCTCATTTTGACCAGGATTAGGAGAAAAGAACATAAGAGTAACCATTTTAATTAGGGAACAAACATTTTTCAAACCAGGACATTAACAGATGAAATACAGGGGAAAAAAACAGATTAAGTGTAAATTACCCTCTTTAAATCATTCAGCTACATGGATTCAAGTGCATGGCACTCAAGGTTTTTCTTCTTACCTTTCTGTTTTACTGCAGCCGCTGGTTCCGCTTTCTCTTGTGGTTTAGCAGCATTGTCCTCTGAAATCTTATCTGCTAAGATATTAGCTTCCACTGTTCCTATAACAAAACAGCTTATAGTCAATGAAAACAAAGATACAGTAAAAAATTGGAATAAAAAACATGCTGAACAAATGTAACTCTTACTACTTAAGGGATATTCTAGTTTCTTAAAATAACCTTGACTGCAAATAACTAAGTCTCAAAGTTTGCAAAGATTTTTAACTTGAATACTAGGTCCTTAGGCTACTGAAGCAGCACAGTCAGTTTCTTCAGTTCAGAGCACTTTACAGATATCACTGATTAGCCTGACACATACTGAAACAACAGAGTATTTAGCTAATAAAGTCTAAGTAACTTTGTAACATTGTTTGCACACTACTTGTAATGCATAATGTATGAATTCGTTTCAAAGGCTTTCCCTTTCCTTGCATTTCATATTAATGCCATTACAAGCTTTCAAGCAAGTAAAGCTTGTTTCTAGAATCTGAACTCCATGACTGCTGTTCACTTTTGATGTTGACAGTTTTGTTTGTTTTTAAAGTAAAAATAAAAGACCAACCGTTTCAGACTCTTTCATGTCCTAATTATCTTTAACAGTCCAAGATGCAATAGGACAATGGTGACAGAAGCAAGGTAATATACGCTAGAAGGAGAAAACTTAAGTATTCAAGTATACAGATAATTTCTAAAAATACATTATTTGGGGAGGAAAAGAACTAAAATGATGCAGCATCATTCAGACACTATGTCTGTAAATACATCTGTGCATTGAATACACCCTGGGGAAAAACTCCAGACTGTTCACTCAGTTTGTTAGTATATATAAAGAATGGGAAGAATATTTATTTTTGGTCTTGCCATTATAGTAATCAAAACTATACCTTCACTTAGAGTAATACATTCAGTCCTCACACTTCTCAAAATATTGCAGAAGTAGAGTAAATGTAGAAATAGCCAATAGAAGAAAAATGTTTACAGATACAGAAACAGCACACCTCTTTTTAAAGGGACACCTAGAGCACGTGGCACAGGGGACAACTACTAAAGCCAAAACATTAGAGATTGATCACCAACCTAGACAACCATGCCTCAGACTACCTATAGAGTCTGACCATGGAATCAAGCACCTCACTCCATCAGAAACGAAGGTTTTAATTCAGAAACTAATTAAATAATACAATACATTAAAATATTACTGGGGGAGGCCTCCATTGGTCAATATACTGTGGCCACATTACACAACAGTTACTGGCAATAACAGACTGGCTACCAGGGGCAGGGTATTGGCTAACAAGATAACCAAAAAGATTTCACATAGCAATCCATGCATTATCTTCTGGCAACATTCATACCCAAGCAACCAAGCTGGACTCAAACTTGATACGCTAAGAATTGCTTTCCTTACCTGGCTCCTGTACTGTGGAGGTTGACTCAGATCTCTCTCCCTGTAGGCTAACTGTTTGCTCAAGAGCACTACACTCACTTTTCTGAGCATCCGTGCTTCCTAACGTAAAATAATTTATAAGTGAGGCATGCATTACAGAGAGTAGAGGCATACAATAAAACATCTCAGAATGAGCCACAGCTCTCCAGCATACTTATAGGCTGCTCGCTTTGTAATAACACATTAGATTTCTAGGCAGCATTTCAGAGCAAAGGCTTAGTTTGCCTCCCTGTAGGGCAAGCAAGACAACATCATTAAGAAATCTGCATATAGGTTGTGGAGTGCAAACCAAGGGTGTTTCCTTAGCATTTGAAAGTTGAGCTATTATGAATTTTGCTGTTTTCCACCTTATCCTACTCTTTGACATTACCACTTTATAACTTTACCAAACTGGCTTTTGACATTCACAGGCAGGCATGCGTGTTTGTGGGCACTTTCCTTCCAACACACAGGCACAAAGTGGGCATTGCCACGGCAGAACTGTTTTAAGAGGCACAGTACTCACTGCCTAAGGGAAAGCTGTTTAGATATCAGTTAAATGCGTTAAAGAAAGAACAATAATAAAACAAAAAACACTGAATTTATAAATCAAGGTTTTGTTCCAGTAACACTGGAAATTTGTTAATGTACAGTGATGAACAAATGCTGGTTTATATATATATTTGCTCTACTAATCATTCTACACTTCAGTTTTGTATATACAAGAGCTGAATTGACATTCAAAGTCTTCGTCATGACACTAACCTCTTTCAGTTCTCCTGTTATGCACCTATTTATCTGAATTTAATATTAGAAACCATAAAAAGCTCTGCTCAACATCAGTAGTGCTTAGAGAGAACAAATGTGCAACAGATACCTGCATAGCTCCAAAACTTTTTAGTCTGGGCTATGTAGTAGAGCATGTATGAGCATTACTCATCTATCATAGCTCCTCTTCATTACAGCAAAAAGAGCACCAATGCTCCAAAGTATTTATCATTTAGGTAAATGGAAACTTGAGTGTGCTGCCCACTGCTTTGTGAAAAGAGGGGTATTTCAAAACATTTACCTTAAAGCCAAAACACAGGATAAATGCAAACCATATTTCACTGACCAGAACAACTGAATAGTGATTTTAAAGAAGGGATGGTCCTATAAAATGTGTCATGTCTGGTCACTTCAGTTCCACTTAAACCCATGAAACAAATATACAACTCTTGCAAAAAAAAAAAAAAAAAAAGGCGGGGGGGGGGGGGTTTGCAAAAGACTATATATTTTTTTACCAAGTACAAAATTATTACAATCTTACAGCACATAAGTATATTAGATGTGATGTAAAGTTTCCAATAAGCACCAACTTAAACTGTGCTCTTAAGTCAACAGGAGTTTGTATCCCAAGTGACAGATATTTTTTAAAAGGTATTTAAGGTGCATAAACATCTTCTAAAATTTTTCATGAATGCTTTTGAAAACAGGGCTGTTGATTGCTATAAAAATGATGCAACTTCAGCGTTTCACCAGGCATGAAAATAAAATACACAACCATGAAACAGAAAAAAAGATGGCAGACTAAGTGCATGAAGAACCTCACCATTCATTCGTCCAAGCAGTATCAGTCTTTAACCTGAATTAGTAGTTTCAATAGGCATCAACTCACAGGTGTTACTGTATCTTTGTAACTGAAACGTTAAAGTAATTTATGTATAGAGACTTCTTCATTTGGGCTTAGAAGTTTTGTGCTCTCAAGCCACAAAATCACTGAAGGAAACCTTGAATCTTAATAAATAATCAGGTGGTGGAATTAAAAGCAGAAGGAAAAGTGGTACTTACTCAAACAGAGAAATTAGAGTTACAGTGCCATTATATGAGCTCTAGTTAGAAGCTGTTTTTATTCCTTACCTATGTGTTCATCTAGGCTTGCCTTCTTGCCTTTCTTATACAAAGGGCTAGGCTTCTTTTCAGGTGAATGGCTAGCTGTACTAAGCTTAGACTCCTTGCTTCCTAATATGAAAGTTGCAAGACAAATATTAGGGATATTCTAGAAAGAGCCTAGTTTCCAGTCAGTATGCAAATACAATACTTAATACACTTACAAAGAGAAGTCAGTTACTTAAATCAACCGCAATGAAGCGTCTTAAAAGATAAAATGACTTACGTATTTGCAAAGGATGGTACAACTGTTTACTAGAACCAGCTAAGACTATCTCAGGTCTATTACCTTCACTTAAATCTTGTCCAAAAAGATGAAGAGAAATGACTAATAAAGCTATACAGTAGATGAGAAGGGATATTACTGATGATTGCACCATATGTTAAATAGCTTCTTCTGAGTCTTTGTTGACTGCAGCTATCACTCAAAGGTTAGTGAACGTCCTGTAATCACCACAGCTACATTTATATCAATCCACCCTTACCTAGCGGGCAAGTAGAGACATCACAGGTATCACAACTGATGGTTTTGAGAAACTTCACACAGAAGTGAGGACAAAATGACCACAGAGCTACCTCCGGTCTGGTGTGTGGCATGATTCATGCAAGCAGGTTTCAGTCTAGAGACCTAGCACACTCGGATCAGGAGGGTGATCCAGCTGCTACCAGGAACTGCTCTCGAATAGCACAGAAAAAATGGCCTTTCACACTTTCTCATTTCCTTCTCGTATGTCCTAGATGACAAACATCTAGCATTTCTCCCCTGCTGATGGTCAGCAGTAACACCACAAGGTTGGTCCCCTACCATCTGGTCAAGCTCCTGTGGAAGGTGATGTGAGGTAAGAATTCAGTACCAATAATACGCAGCTCATCCTCTCTGTTTCAACACAAATCACAAGGTCCTAAGAGGCACTAACCCACATAAAATTACAGAGCAACAGGACAATTCTGGGAAAAACAAACATAGACTAACCAAAACATCATTCAGAGAGAACGCAATACTGAAGTGTCAAGAGCAAGAGTAACTTTGGAGTTGGAACTGTTCATGCAGAAAGTAAGCACACCAAAGAGAGTAACACCATCCACATAGCAAATCTATGCAGAAAACCTGGCTACTGGATTCATAAACACAGGCTGTGTGCATAGAATAAGCACAGAAAATAACAAACAAATATATTTAAGTATTTATGCTATTCTTATTCTATAACCCTCTGGCAAACTTAATATAAAGAACACTGTCCTTCTTGTTACCTTCTCCTCCAGGTTTGGTGCGCTGCCTTGATGCTTTGGTTAAAGGTTGCTTTGTTATTCCTGCAGGACTTTCATTCTTTAAAGAAAAAACAAAAACATCTCACATGCATAAATAAAAAAAATATATAAATACATCCATTGTGTATATATACATATATATGTGTGTGTGTGTACATACACATATGCATGCACTCATTTACAAAACTGCTACATACACATAGGAATAAAAAATATGTAAGGTCTATTTTCTCAGAAGAGTCAGCAGACTTTTAACCAAGATTAGCGAGTCACTCAAAGGACTAAAATGCCTAAAAATATCTTCACGTTTGTGCAAAACTGTGTATTTTTAGCAGATACATGCTTCCGCTTTGATCATCTAGGAAGTCTTTTTAAACTTCATTCCTAAATAGAAGTAAAGAGGTGATGGCTGATAAACTGCTCCACCAGACTGGCCTGATCTTCTACTCAAATGGCAACTTCCCTGGACAAAGCTCTGGTCAAACTAAGAAAACAGGTCCTGCCAGAAAGATCAGCAAACAAGCAATGGATCACCTGAAAGAAGACTTCATACCCTGATGAGAAAGTTCAGCTATTTTTCCAGAAAAAGGCAGTGCCTAAAAGGAGGGCAAAAAGAACACGAATGGTTTGAACATAGAAAAGATTGAACTGAAGACAGTTATGAAGACTCTGGACTAAATCCAAAAGTAACTCAAAGAAGCCAGGAAATGAAGGCAAGCAAGCATTATTTTGTTTTTCCTGGATATACCTTGCATTGCCTGAAGTGAAGAATAGCTGCCTGGCAATATTCTCGGTAAAGGCTCTACATTAAATAGTTCAGTGGTCACATGTTCTTGGACAGGAGCAGCTTACACCAGCAGATCCATTTGGCTGCAGGTTGGGAAAAAGATGGGCTTAAACAACGAAAAAGCAAGACAGGAGATCACAACAGTGCCAGATGAGGTCATTTGGACTGCAAGGTCCACTGTGTGTGAAGGGATACCTGAGCCTTTGTCCAGGTAGTGATAAAGAAGCCTAAGATAGCTTCAGCATTTGCGCTATAAATACGCTCAGCAAACAGGACTCAAAACGTCCTGGTGAGAGCGAGAAGAGGCACAGGTCTGCCAGAGATGCCACTGCCATGGGTGGGATGTCGTACAGATTTACTACTCACTCTACTCGAGGAGAAGCTGGGGTCCAAAAGACTCCAAAGGAGGTGCCAGGTGTAAAGGAGGACTCCTGCCAGCCTGACAAAATACCTGGAGATATGGGATCAGGGTGGGAAGGAGGCCATCCATGATACTACGGTTGGTCAGAAGGATTTATTCTGCCACTTCTCCTGCTGACAAAATTGACATTTGTAGAGAAGATTTGTGCTTGCTTGTAGACTGAAGGATGCTGGTAGTCAATAAGGCAAAAGAAAAGCCTACATCCTGTGCTGTGCAAAATCTAGCCAAACGAACACTGTGTAGTACTCAACAACATAACCAGTTTAGACATAAACTATACTTGGATTATTGCAATTTATATTTAAACTGTAACCAAAGCTCTCAATATTTTCATTTCACTCTCTTTAGGAAACACTGGCACTTACAAAGAAAAAAAGATAAAAGTCCAAAAAGATTAAGTAATATGCAAGTGCTTCATTTTAATTACTACCATCTTTCACAATTATAACACTACACAAGGAGCAAAAGTAAAGTCCACAAATTACCAGAGTCTCACTTTGAAAGTCTGCAGGCCACATCTGGTATACTCAATCATTTGCAGCTCTTTGGGCAATTTAACTATTAACACAGGTGCAGAAGGAGCTGAGAATAAGTACTGAGGTTTCTGGAGGAGGTGATCTAGTCATTTATGTTAGGTAGTGACTGTAAACACAGTTTAACATTTTTGTAGAGCCATATGTGAACACTGGCAAAAGATGCAAAGTAAAAACTAAAATGTAATGAGTAAGGCAGCATACAACAACATAAACCTCATAATACTTAGGATTTGAGTCTTTTTGAAGGGAGACAAAACAGTAATTTTTCTTGTACAGAAGTAGTGGCACCAGGACTTTGAAGAACAATCATGGAGCCAGTTAAAAAAAAAAAATGTACTGCACTTCACCTCGCACCATCTAGAAAAGAAAACAAAAACGAAACAAAATATCCCAGTGGAATCCTAGATGTACATACACACACTTCCTAGTTTTGTGTAGTTACATTTCTATTTGGAAAGGTTACAGCAGCCTACCGTCTGTATCATCCAGTCTGCTGCTTTGTTCTCATTATTGATTTCCATGTTGAGAAAGGAAAATAATGATTTTTAATAATCGAGCAGATCAAGGAGAGCAATACACTGAAAAGACATTCTGCCAACCGGCTAAGTCCCCTCCCTTTCCACACAGACAGTAATCATAGCCTGCATTCATGGATGTCATGAACAGCTTCTACTGGTGACCTTTACACACTGCTCCTCAGGCTCCGCTCCGTCCCAATGATTACCAGGGAAGAAGTCTGCTGATGGAGCTCAGGAAGTTTTTGCTGATCTGGCAGAGGACGCACATGCTAACACTCTTTATTTTTGTATATAGCATATTGGGCAACAAACTATTAAGAAGTCTGCTGATGGAGCTCAGGAAGATTTTGCTGATCTCGCAGACAACGCACATGCTAACACTATTTTTGTATATAGCATATTAGGCAACAAACTATTCCTCAAGAAACAAACAGCTCATTTCTAATGCCTTTACTGACAGTTGAAGGAAATAATAAAAAATATTCCCAATATTTACTCCTGAAATGGTTACTATGTTATTAAGACACATAATTTACTAGTGTGCAACGGCCACAAGAGGTACAATTGCTAAGGTCATTATGATTACTATTATCAAGTACAAGAAACAAACAGCTCATTTCTAATGCTTTTACTGACAGTTTGAAGGAAAGAATAAAAAGTATTCCCGATATTTACTCCTGAAATGGTTATTATGTTATTAAGACACATAATTTACTAATGTGCAGCAGCCACAAGAGGTATAATTGCTAAGATCATTATGATTACTGTTATTATCAAGTTTATTAGAAAAACACTGATTAACTATCTTTTCCTGAAACAAAGGCCTGCAGGATGATGTTCTATTGGTGCTAACTTCTACTAACTAAAACCTTTCAAAATAAGAGAATTCTTAAACATTAAAAATTAGGATTTTTCTATCTTCTATTATTTGGACCACTTACGAATAGCTGATACCATGACAGAGAGATACTTATGAGACATGTTCAGGAGGTTTCCATGATATGATTATTTCTGCAGCTTGAAGGGTAATGTCTTTTTTGGATTTAGCAGTTGCTTCATTATATATTCTAGATCAGTTCCAAAAGAAATAGGAGAGTATTAGATGTGACTTAGAAGATCACATAAATGACCAGCTCCAAAGCAGCATAGTTTGTGCTGCAAAAATGAAAGCCACTGAAGATGTGGCCAAAAGTGACAGGATATTACAAAAATCTTTAGCCAAAAGTTTCTGAAGCCATCTGTAAAATGGAAGAGACTTTTCCAAGGTGTTTTGCCTTAGGGGTAGCTGACCTACCTATTCTGCAGCCCCTTTCAATTGAACCCCATATGCTCCAAAGGTCTGTCTGCAACCCGAATCGTTTTTTTTTTTTGGTCAAACTGCAAGAAGTTATCTTTATTATTGAGAAGGTGAATGAGTCATGCCACGAAGTGTTCCTTTTATACAAAGACACTTATTTGAGCTGGACTGAGAGCTAACAAGATACAATTCTACTTCCTTCGATCCAAGCATTACATACAACAACTAGCTCTGGAATCAAAAGCTACTCTTTACAGACACATCATAGCCTGTTTGCTACATTACCAGTCATCTGGTAATCAAATGTTTCTTTTGGATTCCTATTTAAACTTGCTTTAATTTCAGAAAATTATGAATATTTATGTGATGAATGTTTCCCTAGTACCAGAAGAATAGATTATTTTAAAAAAGCAGGGAAGAGAGGATCAAGCTGTTGAAATTTATATGTCATTTTTAAGGCTGTGACAATCAGTATTAAGTAGTATTACTGCACGTTTAAAATATTTAAAGTTTCTAAATAAATTTGTTCTCCAGAATAAATGTAGCATAGAAGCTGTTCAGCCTGACATTCTACGGACATCGCAAATGAAAGAACAGTTTCCATTTCCCCCAAAGTTTCCATGCCTTCATGCTGCTAAAACAAGCAACATCTCTGAAGAAAGGATTCCATTAATATGGAAGAGGCAAGATCCAAAGCAAGGGGAAGGCAAATAGCTCATTGTGAAATGAAGCTACTTGAGACTCAGAAAGAGGGAGAGAACCTGTGATCAGGAGTGCAAGAGCAAAGAGAGCAGGACTCCGAGCCTGGGAGGGGTAACTGAGCAGAGCAGGACAAGCCAGAAGAGAAGAAGGGGCCAATCTTTAGGGCAGAGGAAAGCAGGTGATGTACACACTGCCTTACTAGTCACCAATTCTTTCACATACAGGGCATTGTATTTATAAAACGCTACAAAGAGATGCTGAAGGCTTATTAATTGTGCAGCAGAGACCGCAAAATAATACAATTCTATACTCTGCATTTGCATAAATGCAGAAAAGATTTTCCTTCTGTTTAATGCACTTCACTGCAGGCTGACTTAAATGGAGTTAGGGTAGTTTAAAGCAGGGCAAATCCCTGGAAGTAAAGGCATGACCCTGCTGTGAAACTACTGTGATGACAGGAAGATCAACCCCAGCACATTAAGATGCACTTCCCAATTATTTCATGCTGGATTTTCCTCTAAAACACTTTGGGTAGTTATCCTAGCCCTCCAGCTCTAGAGATTCATTGGGAACATTCTAATTTCGTTCTTCTTTTCCACAGTCAGGGACCGTTTATCACGGGCTTGGTCTAAAGTGTGCGTTTTCATCACCTAAAGGCTAAGCAGCATCTACTGTTATGCAAGCAAGTAAAGGGAAAGCATGTCATGCAGATTTAAGGTAATAAACCAACATGCCTTGGATTCAATCCCAAAAGCACTTAAGACAGGAAATGGAACTCCACTGCACCAGCACATTACTGTGGTGCCCAAGAGCACTACGATCGTTTGGGATGGAGCTCAGAATTTCCATTAGAGACCCAATTGGCAGGAAGTTTGACTTGGCTACGAATATTTGCTTCAGGCTTAAAGCTATTTCATAAGCTCTCACTCCAAGTGCCAATACTTTAAAAAGTTTGGTTGGATTTCAGTCAAAGAATGGCAATAAAAAATTGTCATCCAATGTAGAAGACATGATGATGTCAGTAACCCACTGACTCCCTAGAGACTCCTGCTGGAGTTGGGGTGCTGCCTATATGTTCCTAGTCTGAGCTGCTTTAGATTCATTTATTGAAGTATCCCTCTTTAAACATTTAGCCATATGGCTTTGTAATTCCCAAAATTGCCTCAGGCCATCAAGAAGCAACAGACGCAGACGGTATAACAAGCAACTGCTACTGTTCAGAGACAACCAGTGAGCCTATATCCTGTCCTACTGTCAGGCAGCTCCAAAACACATGCCCCAGGCACATCACTGGACTCATTTTCTTTCCAAAATGGTAACTTCTGTTAAAGTACATAAAAATCAAACAGATTCCAAGGAAAGATTCACAGGAATAAAATAGACGGTTCTGAACAAATAATTTCTTGGCATACCCAAAACATCAGCACATAGAACTAAATACCTGGAAAACGAAATTGATTGAGTAGACTTTGTTTGTTCAAGCTAAGAGGAATTTAAAAACAAACACACAATAGCTGAGGAAGTAAACCTGCAATATCTGCAGTGTAATAAATCTATTAACAAAAATCCGCGATTTAAGTTGGCTGAGCCAATATGAGAACTCTAAAGTTGGCATCTACTTATTTTTCAATCCTACCTACTTATGTGCAGATTCCCAAGCTATTCTGAAGTGCAACACTCTCAGCATTTCACCTTCCCAGATTTTCTATACTACTAACCTCATTATCTGGCTGGTACTTGCTGTCTTTAGACGGCCTCTCCGTTTTTCGAAGTGCAGGTTCCTCAGAATCTGTGGACTAAAAGAAATAACTGCTTTACACTCAAGTGCTCAACCATGAAGCGAGGTGTCTGCTGAGGAGCAAGCCACATACTCTGACTATGGTTGTAACCACTGCGTCGGTTACTGGGGAGACACAGGAGGACATAAGGACACGACTCCAGCAGGCTCTGCGACCTGTCACTGCCCAGCATAACCTAATAGCATCAGGAGAATCCAGACAGAGTGCAGAAAAGCAGCTGCTTATTATATGATCAGAAAACAAGGTCAAGGAGCCTAATAGCTCAAATGCAGATAAAACATGACAGAGACACATGCAGCCTCAGTCATAAGACTTGCTCTTATCAGAACAAGTCTGTACTGAAACTTCACTTAAGAACAATTGCTGTTTAAAAAGAACTGTTGTTGTTACATGAAGAGAAATACAAACACGCAAGCCCATTAGAAATTAAAATACCACCAAAAAAAACCCAAATCCTTCAAAACCTACCATGTCAAAAGTTGTATTTTTTTCCCCAAGTATGGTTTCTCTTACCTTTTTCTCTGCTTTATCCTTTCCATGTTCTCTTGAGTGTTCCCCATCCTTTCCTCTTTCCCGTCGTCTATCCCTTTCTCGGTCTTTTCCCCTTTCCTTGTCTCTTTCTCTGGTCTTTTCTTTGTCTCTTTCTTTCACTTTGTCTTTTTCTCTTCCTCCTTCTTTTTTTTTCTCCCTTTCCTGTCTTTTACCGTGTTCAAAATCTTTTTCTCGTTCTACATCTCCCTTTTCTTTGTCTTCTTCTGTTTCTCTTCCTTCCTTAGTTGTTCTGCTTTTGTTTCTTTCCCTTTCCTGTTTTTCCCCTTCCTTAATGTTGCCTCTTTCAAGGTCTTTGTGCCTGTCCTCATTATGCTTATGTTTATCACTTTCCTTTTCTCTTTCTTTGCTCTCTTCTTTCAAATCTTCTTTCGGTTTTCTGTCTCTGCTCAAGCTTCTGTCTCTAATTTCAGAGTCCCCTTTCCCCTAAAAAATAAAGCAAATATTTAGCTCCAATATATGGCAACTCTATCGCACGGTTACTTCACAAAGAAAAAAAAGGGGGGGAAAATGTGGGAAAAGCAGGAAGGCTGCACATCCCTACCTCTTTGTCTCTATGGCTTTTTTGTTCTTCTGCTCTGGATGCTCTGTTTTCTTTATCTCGAGATTTAGACAAGGGAGGCTTTCCTTTAGCATCAGCTCTTTCCCCAGCTAAGATCTTTTTTACAGCATCATCACTAGACAGCTGCAAGAAATAGAAAAATGTCACTGAAGTGTATATAAGTTACTTTAATAAATATCTTTCTTTTTACCGCTAAAATCGCTTGGTTTTGTTCCTTTGGAAATGTTCTTACACTTGAATATCAGAGGTCTTTCGAACAAAAAAAAAAAAAAAAAAAAAAACACTT